TTATATAATTTGGAATACCAGAAACATTCAGTTGGAAGTGACCAACCTAAAATTTCTGAAAGCAATTTATAGTTTACACCATATTTTATCATCTGAATAAAGAAAAAAAAAAGATTTTAAATGCCACTTTTATCCTTACTGATTTTAGTGCTTATTTGTGTAAAATGACACAATGAATTCTCTTGGGGGAAGTGGGGACTGATGCACCCTTTGAACTGAAGTATTTGTGAAACACAAATACTAATTATATTAAAGATTTTCAAGAAGTAAGCTTATGTTTCATACATAGTGTGTGGTATAAAGAAAGCAGCATATCAAAGATTGTTATGTGATCCACAATACCAAATAAGAGGAGACCAGCTGGAAACAATGTATGAATTAGCTAGACAAGACTGGAATGTGTAAATACTGACTATGACCGAGAGACAAGAAATTACATTAACTCAGTTATCAAATAAGTTAACAAACCATTAAACTCTTTGTTTTGAAGGACTAGATGTGCATTAGTAAGACCTTCTATTATATTTATCAACATAGATATGGTAAAACCACTCATCTATGTTAAAACTCTCAAGGTTATCTTGAGATAATACTAATTCTTAGTGTATAAATAAAAACTATTGATTTGTATTCAGATGTCTCTGTGTGTGTTCTTTTCCACACACAAATTTCCACACAAGCCACTAACTCAAACTCCGCTCACAACTGTTTTGAACTAATATGAATTAGAAACCATTTACAATGGTATAACATTTTGTGTAGTTTTGACATTTTGTATTTTAAAAAGTATTCTTCAGTAATGTTGAAATTCTTGTGAATATTTAAGCTTTTATTTTGATGAAAAGCATTGTGTTGTTTAAACTAAGTTCTCATAGTTCCTACATTTGTTTTAGTTTACAATAATGTACATTAGAGTAGAATGTTTGATTACAAAGTATGTCCTCTGATTATAATTTTCATGGTTAGATTGGTGGACTGAAGAATGTAAAATATACAAGCACTCACTGGCTACTTTGCTGTGAATTTGTGAAAAATACAAGGTATTTCATAAGCTCACTTATTAAGGATTAAGAAGTTAAGCTTATTTCAGCTACTGGGGTTTGAGTAAAGGTTTGGTTAATTTTGTCAAGAATAAATGTTTCAGTTTATATTATAAAACAACTTCAGACTTTTTATGGTTACACTTACAAATGTGCGTGGTAATAATTTTTTTCAGGGTTATTGTTGGTGACGTGTACTGACATGGCTGTTCTGTGTGGAAATAGTAGTGAGACCTGTCGAGCCAAATATGGAGCTGTGTCTTTAAAGATGAAGAGTAGTCATGAAATGGTACATTATTTTTATATGATAGGATGATATTCTCTTATTTGCCATTGCTACCAAGGTAATTCATGTTTTGCTTTTTAATTGGAACTTTATTTAATCTTTTACCTTCTGGTAATAATCAGTCTAATTCCACTAACAATGAATCGGGCATGGCTTGTGGTTAATTGTTCAGATAGTGCATTGGAGGATTCATTGTTTGTTGTCATGAAAATGTGTTCCATATTTTGGGACTTTAGATGTATTATAAGAGTGGTGCTCAAATCCTGCTGTTTGGCCAGACAAGAGTAGTCTGTTGACTTGGCACCTAGGTGCTTTTCCTTTAGAGTAGTCTGTCAGTTCAAAATTACGGATGGCTAACACAGTTAGCCTTTGTGTAAATTTGCTCAAATAAATGAAGGAAACAAACAATATTCTGAAAGTCTGGTGTTTACTTTTGTCAGTACTAAATATCATATTAAATGGTACAGTGTTTCATAGCATATAGATGTGTTTAAAGTTTAAACTATGAATTAACTAAACATTGGTTTTCATGTAATGTTTTCTAGGTGTGGTACTTCTAAGACACTTTAAACTCCAGGTTATATTTTTCCAGATACTTGTATATAATTGTTACAAATATAATCAAAGTTAGGTTACTGACATAGCAGTAATTTAGTTGAAACTGAAAGTAATTCACAATATATTTTTATGCAGAAAAAAGTTGAAAATTTAAATTTCATTCATTTTTTTAAGTATGAAAAACCTAAAGAATTAAAACAAAAATAATTAGTAGTGATCTAAGTTCAGCCACAAATGTTTTCCTCTAAAATTATATAAGTAAATTATTTAGTTTAGTTGTTAAGAGTTTCATGCATTAACTTGAAGCCAATATAAAAAAACAATTGTATTGTTATTGATAAAATGTATTTTATTACTTTGCTCAGTTCTGATCTAAGGTAATGTAGACTTGTGCTTATCAAAAGAATAAATAGGAAGTTTAATCTCATACTCAGTTTTTCTAAAAACTGTTAGGGATGTTTAATCAATAAATATTATATTTAAAGTTAATAAACCTAGAATGAAATGCATATACACATACACAAAACTACTAAACAGTCTTTTTTATCTTACAACAAATATATTTAATATTTCATCGTAGGTAATATTATTAATTTTATTTTGTGTTTATAATTCATTGATGTTGAGGCTATCGAACATTGTGTGGAATCCATTGATGTCGAGGCTAGAGATTTCTAGAAGGCCTTGAGTGAAT